CATGGAGAGGTCCAGCTGGTGCCTGCACAGAACTTCCATTCTTATGTTCTAGTGTCTTTGCTATGGGAAGGTACTCTGCATACTAACAAAAGAGAAACGTAAACAGTAACCTAGTCATAAACCCTCTGATCTACAATAGTGTTCTGCAGCTTGTGGGAATAACAAACCAAATTCTGATTAGACGTAAGGCCCACTCCATGAGATTGAACCCTTACTACCGATACTACTAGGGTAACCAAAAACCAGAGACTGGATAGCCCATGAACTAAGGTGAAATCAAATACTACTTGTCTAAAAGAAGGGAGGGGAGGTGGTAACAAAATGACTCCTAATGACATTCTGCTACACTTATAAATCATTGCCTCGTTCAGCCATCATAAGAGAAGCTTCCTCCTGCAGCAGAAGGGAACAAACACAGAGTCACAGCCAGACATTATACAGAAAGTGAGAGACCTTAGAACACTCAGTCCTAAATAGGATGTATCCATCAAATCCTTCCCCTCAGGGCTCAGAAAATGATGGTTCATACATCATTATGGGGTTCAGAAAATAACTGAGGAGCAGTGAGATGGCTCAGCAGGTAAAAGTGCTTGCAGACAAGTCTAAGGACCCAAAATGAGCGTGAGAGCCACAGGAGTTAGAGGACACTGCCCTCTAAATCAACTGGATAGAGCACATAGGAACTCAGAGAGCCTAAAGCAACACTACAGCTGTGGCCTGCACGGGTCTCTACCAGGTCCTCTGCATATGCATTATGGCTTCCAGTTTAGTGTTTTTATAGGACTCCACGTGGGCAAATAAGTGGACATGATTCTTATGCCTTCTGTGGGCTCTTTTCCTTCTGCTTGTTTGTCAGATTCTAAAGTGATAGCTTTTGTTTTATCTTATTATATTTTATGTTATATTTGAATATTATCTCTTAGAAGCCTGTTCTTTTCTAATCAGATCCAAATAGATTAGAAACTGGGAAGACCCTTAAGGAGTAGAGGGAGGGGAAACTGTAATCAGGATATATTATTTATGTGAGAAAAAAATCTATTTTCAATAAAAAGGAAAACTAAAATAAAAAAAAAAACTCTATTCATGTCTTTAGCGAGAACTGAAAGAACCAGATGTTGGAATGAGGTGGGAGGTTCATGTTCCAAATGCCCTTCACCATCCTTAAAGCCACGAACAAACCTGGCAGCCATCAGTGTTCTCAGATATAGGCAAATAAACAGCTTGTAGACAAAACAAAAGAGAATCAGAGGTATACACTGTCAGAGCCTGTTGTCTGATTTTTCCCCGTTTAGGATAAAAAAAAAAATGCCCAGTATTATTTAACTCTTCAAAACCTTCGCCCTGTCTATATTTCCCTGGAACGTTGTTTTTACCCAAATCTAGATTCATTTTGGAGTAAAACGCCACTTATATGTCTGATCGTCTCTGATCCTTACTAACAGAACTTCTAGACTTCAAACTAAATTCAATTATGCCAGCCTCTTGAGGATACAAGAATTTGTTTCTCCTTTATTAACTATTAATAAGAGATATTAGTTTTGACTATAAAACTTTGTTATCAGCACAGAAGAATTAACAAGAGACAAAAAAGAAAAAGACAGTTTGTGCGTCATGATGGGATTAGAAACTAACTGAGGCCCGACGAGACGGCTCAGCAGGGAAAAGTGCTTGTGGACAAGCCTGATGATTCACATTTCGTCCCCACGCCACACACGACGGAAGTGGATGACTGCTACAAGCTGTTCTCTGACCTCCACGCATGAACTCTGGCATTCACTCTCCCATAAGTAAATGCAAAATAAGATTTGGAAAAAAGAGTAAAAAATAAATTATAATCCCTATCACCTGACCCTGCCAGGCTAAATGCCATTTCCACATCCATGATGACTTTTAGAGAGCAGTCATTTTTCCTTATGATTTCATCCAAAGGCTTTACCCTGCCAGTATCACAGATAGTGTGCTTAATTGTATAGAATACCAATGCACCCTGTTATGCTTTATAGGTGGGAGTATTATATAAAGCACTATAAAGTTTCTTTACAAAAGGAACAATAGAACTAACCTATGATCCAGCAATACCACTTCTGGGCATGTATTGAAAAGAAATGCAATCAATATTGCAGATAAAAGTCTAGTGCCCATGTTCACTGTACCACTACCACAACATCTAGGGATGCATGAATGAATGTTCTTTTAAAAATGTGTTCTGAAAACAATGACAACTTGAAATTTGCAGACAAATGGAACTAGAAAAAAGCCATCCTGAGTGAGGTAACCCAGACCCCGAAAGACAAATATAATATGTACTCACTCATATGTAGATAATACAAAAGACAACCAGAGAACCTAGGTAACAAAGAGGACCCTAAGAGAGACATACATGGATCCGTCTAGGAAGGGGGGAAAAAAAGACAAGATCTCCTGAGTAAATTGGGAGCATGAAGGACAGGGGGAGGAGGTGGGAAGGCAGAGGGTGGAAGGGGAGTGGGGAAAAAGGTATAGCATATTCCTATCCAAACAATTAAAATGAGAAGGATTTAATAAAAAAAAATAAAAATGTGTTCTGAGTTACCATGATAACCTGTGGATCTCTTTGTAGAAATTCTTGGCTATTTCATATGTGTCCTATACACTACAGCTTTAAAAATATGCATGCGTATTAAAATACATAGGAACACAACATAATGAAAGATATCAAGTACTGATATTGTTCTTAAAAGGATTTATTTGCAGATGGGCGTATTTACAAGCATGAAACCAGCAAGGATTGATGCATGGAGTATGAGAGATGTTACTAGATCAACCCAGGCCAGAGATAATATTGGCCTAGACAAGGAGGACACGGTGGATTTGGATATGTAAGAATCTAAACACATTCCTGGCACTTTCTGTAAAAAGAAATCAATGGAACGAAATGAGCAAAAGAGACTATTTTAAAGAGGACGAGTAACACAGAGCAAGGGCTGCAGCTCTGTGCTTTAAAATAATTCCATTGTACAGGTTTGCTACTTTCAGGCTATGACACAGAAAAACTCATTTAACCATTCTGTGTCTCATGTCTTCAGACCTGTTGTAGGGTAAAAGGGACAACTGGAGCAGGAAACCAAACAATCACTGAGCACCCTGACTCTGAACCCAGAGTCAGAGAAAGAAACACACCCTGTGTTTGAGACCTGGACCAGGGAGAGAAACATCTTTATCCCTGAACCCAGGACTAAGGACGTGTGCCCTGGCTCTGAAACTAGTGTCAAAGAAACACACTTTGTCCCTAGAATCAGAATCAGTGAAAGAAATGTGCCCTGGTCCTAAGATTAGAGTCAAAAACTAAAAAGGACCAGTGAAAGAAACACAGTTTGGCCATGAAGGCAGAGCCATCTCTGCCCCTGACCCGCTAAACTGACCAATCCCTGTGCAGGAAAAAACTAACCAATCTCTCTTCTCCCTGGGAAAACTCCACCCCTAAGAAGCCCTGTATGTGTCTCCACCCCTTCAGTTAAAGGCCACCATTTATCCCTCCCTGGCAGAGGCAGCCACTCTCCTGAACTCCTTCTTCCCAAATAAATCTCTTTCTCCAAAGAGTCTTGGGTGATAACCTTCATTTGCCTGAGCAGACTAGAAGAACCTGGCTGGGATGTCCCTTAGGGGACCGAGCTAAAAAACCTTGCTGAGATACCCCCTATGGGGCCTGAGCAAGGTGGAGTAGCACAGAACCTTGCTAGGACGCTCCTTAAAGGAGGCTGAGCAAGGCCGGGCAGGTAAAAGTAACAACTTTTCAAAGGAGCAGGGGCTCCTTTAGCAGAGTGTTAGCAAGAGAAGAAACACCATGGGCTGAAGAAGCAGATAGCTCTGCTAGGACGCTCCCTTAAGGGAGCAGAGCAGAGCTCAGCTGTAGCTGCTCTCCAGAAGAGTAGGATTACTATATCCTGCCGGAAGACCATCCCCCACCGCAGCCCAGCTCCAGGTAGCCTGGCTTCCAGATAGTCAGGACACCTTTCCTCCAGAGCTGAGCTGTCCTATTGTGGCTCTAAGTATAACCTGGCTACCTGATAAGCCAGCATATCTCTCCAACTCTAACTGTAACACATTCCCCTACACCTGTAACCTGGTATAATACTGCCCAGCTCACTGTGTTATAAAATTCATATGGATTACAATAGACTGCAGATAGCCCTGAACTGTATAGTGTGGAAAACTCAAATCGAGCATAAGCAGTCAAGCACGTTGGATGTGCCAAGCTCCTGCCCCTGGGATTGCCTGCCATGCTAGACTGGAACCTAGAATTGGGAGCTGAGTCACCCTTTCTCTGCCTCAGTTTTTCTCAGGGTATTTTCTCACAAAAACAAAAATGAAACTAGGATCTACCTTTTGGGTAGAAATGAGAGACAGAGCCAGACGGAAAATGAAATGAAAGTACTAAATGACTACTTCAGAATATGATGGTCAAAGAATAGAAAAAAGGAATATCCAATTTACAAGATCCTGTGCGTGCGTGTGTGTTTGCGCACACGTGTGTGTGTGTGCAGGATATTTTGGAGGAGATAGTGAGGAACAAGGATTTTCATTCCATCTCTCAATACTAAGGAACATGAAGATGAAAACATTTGGTCTCTAAAGAGATGTTTCATAATCATTGGCCATCAAGGGACCACAGTGGGAAAAAGCTCCCACAAAAATTGAGGAACTTATTTGGCCGTGTACCATCAATAGTAGCAGAAACTTAAAGAAAGTTTTGGAAGTTATGGTGAGAGGGAAGAGATGAAGGAAGGATTGGATCAGAGACAAGAAAGGAAAAAAGAAATGTAATCCCAACTAACAATAATGTTTAAAATCTTGGTATAAAAATACCTTATGTATGATTATAAATATATACACTGTCTACATGTGATTTTTCAACATAATTTACTCAATACAAGACTGGTTTATAAGTAAGTGTTTCCAAATGTGACTGGACAAAAAAAAAATCAGTGAAATGATTCCGAATGATATTCTGCTATACTCACAGATCAGATTGGTTCGTAGTCCAGTTGTCATCAGAGAGGCTTCAGCCAGCAGCTGAAGGGGGCAAATGCAGAGACCCACAGTCAAACATTAGATATAGAGTGAGCCCAAATTAGAGATCTCCATAAGGTCCCTCCCTTGAAGTTCGAGAAACCCCACAGAAGATGGGGAGGCGAAATAGAGGGTGTCAGAGGGAGCAAGGACACCAGGAGAACATGGCCCACAGAAACAACTAATAGGTCATGGGGATTCACAGAGACCGCAAAGCCTGCACGGGTCTGTGCTAGGTCCCTCAGTATGCTATGGCCGCTACCTTAGAGGCTCTGTGGGAGTGGGGTTGTCTCTGACTCTTCTGTCTGCTCTCGGGACCCTTTTCCTCCTACTGGGTTGCCTTGCCCAGCTTTGATGTGACAGAGTTTGTGCCTGGTTTTATTGTATCTTGTTGTGCCATGTTCGGTTCATGTCCCTGGGAGGCCTAGTCTTTTCTGGGGGAAGATGGAAGACCTGGATCTGGGGAGCAGAGAGGTGGGGGAAAGGACTGGGAAGAATGGGGGGCAGTTGTGGTAAGGATATATTGTAAGAGAGAATAAATAAAAATAAAATAAGTGCTTATGTAAACTAAAGTTATTAACTTGGCCCAACTTCATTTTGGCTTATAGTAAAGTTAAAATTTTAGGAACAAAATAATGACAAAATACAAAGGAATACATTTACAGAGATGGCCAATGGTCTTAAACATTTCTTTGATACAATTAGAATGAATTTTTAAAATTTTATTTTTTTAAAAAACAAGATATACATAATCATACAATTCTGATAAAGATGTTAGCTCCTTGATCCTTATCTCAATTCTGGTTCTATAACACGGTCCCTACTGATTGACTTTAAGAGAAGATTTCTCATATTCTAGGATATGTTTTCTTACCTATTAATTGTCCTCCTTTGAAATATTAAACTCCTTAGTTTAAAGATTAAGAGGATAACTCACCTGTGTGCCTTTAGATATGTTTTATATGTGAATAAATACAATTTTAAAACATTAAAAATTTTTAAAAGGTTTTAAGAATATTTATACAACTACTGCCTTTTTAAAAACAAATGAGTTTTTCAAGAGTCATGTCTTAGCCAAGCCTACGGAAGAGAAAACCCTAAACATATTTTTTATTGTCATTAAAAAAAACACTTAAAAAAAGATTTGGAAGCTCCTGGCCGTCCCTATGTGCCCTGTCGTCCCAGACACTGTGGGCACTGTGGGCACAAAGTGGTGACTGCAGGAGGCTCCTGTGGCCTGATCCTCTGTGGGGGCCTGGCAGGGACAGGCCCACTACTGGCTATGCTTTCTCAGGATTTGTTCAGCTGGGGCCTGCCAGGTGAACAGAGTGTGGCTGCCCGGCTGCTGCCCGGCTGCTGCCCCTTGCTGATGTTTCTGGAGTCACTAGGCCAAAGAGCCCATTGGCTGGAATGAGATGAAGAATGTCCCATATCAACCAGGAAAGCATGGGTGTGCTCTATGCCCTGTCAGATGTGATGGGGGTGTAGCTACTGCTCAGGACTATCTGCTGGGGGAGAGGTAACTGCGGTGGGAGATCCAGAGCCCTCAGGGGTAGCATGGGTCTCTCTGTTTACACTTAACTGATAAGAGTGTCATGCATGGGTCCTGTGTGCCTCTGCCCAGCCCACCTGATGTTTACATGCGTTTGTCTGGAGGACGTGCCAGCCCAGCCTTCTCCCCTGCATGTCCCACACATTGCCCACAGCCTGCTCCCCATAGTAAACGGCTGTCCAGCCTCCCACCCCTGGTTATCACTGTACAGTTTTTTTCAATGCACAAAGTGGTGTACCTCCTCACATTTAGTTCCTTCGTCCCTCCAGCCTTCCAACTGGCATTGGTATCCTAATTCCCTGGCTTCTGGAAGGTATCACTGTACATTGTTCTCAGGTAGTCTTCTGGATGTCCTTCTGAAAATGGTGATTTTATATGATTTGTCATGAAATTTGTTCTAATAAATCATTCTTCCATGTGGCAGCAAAAATAAACAAAAATACTTTCAGGCTGATCAAGACATTTTAAGAGTTTACAGATAATCTTAATGTGTTACATCATAATGATATATTTAAAATAATCATCTGCTTTTATTTAAAATAATAATAAAGTCATAAATGCCAAACTTTATCCTGCTCTGGACGTTTTACCCTCCTTTTGATGCCTCACAAACATTAAAAAAAGGAAATGCTTAAGCCAGGAGTGGAGGCAGAAGCAGGTATACGTTATGCCTCAAGTCTTTAACAAATAATTTAAATTGGGTTAAGAATAAAAAACAATTAATGCATTTTACCTTTATGCCTTGTGACATACACATCTTCATACACATGATCACAAACAGGAACTGCACACATGAGAACACTCTCACATGCACTTACATATGACCATGCTTGGAAACTGCATGTGTCTGCATATGTTCATGCTCAGTAACTGTAAATATGAGAAAACATGCATCTGTACTGACACGTGCCCATGCTGAGGAACTGCCCACATATGAACATGTCCTTATGCATTGACATATAACAATAGTGAGGAATTGCATATACATGAAAACACACATAAACACTGACATATGACCATATATGTGAACATGTATAGATGCACTGATGTATGACCATACCGGGAAAGTACATATATTTAAGCATGCATATATATGCCAATATGTAACTCTGTCTAGTGTCTTAATTTTTCTACTGCTGAGATAAAACATCATGACCAAAAGCCACTTGGGGAGGAAAGGGCTGGTTTGGTTACTTACATATCCTGAGTCACCATCCCTTGAGGAAAGCCAAGGCAGGAGCTCAAACTGGAGGAAGTTGGAAACAAGAGCTGATGCACACTCCATGAAGAAGTGCTGCTTACTGGCTTGCTCAGGCTGCTTTCTTATAGAACCCAGGACCACCAGCCCAGGGACTACACCACCCACAACTGGTTGGATGCTCCCTCATCAACCACTAATTTAAAAAATGCACTACAGGCCTGACTACAGCCCAATCTTATGGGAACATTTTCTCAATTGAGGTTCCTTCCTCTCAAATAACTCTAGCATGCATCCAGTTGACAAAAAAAAAAACCTAGTCAGCAAACCCAAGAAGTGAACACGTTTGAACATGTGCATATGTGCCAACATATAAATATGGTCAGGAAATACACATGTGAACACTATATACATTCACTGACATGGCCTTGTATAGGATTGCATGTAGGTGAGCATACACATGTACACCAATATGTGACTGCACTTGGGAATTGTACACATATGAACACTACATATGCGCCCACATGCAACCACAGGGGATTCCACATATGTGAACATTTGCATATGCACCAACCTATTCCAATGATCAGGAACAGTACACATGTGAACACGCACATATACACTAGCATATGACCACTCATGCTCAGAACTACACAAGTGATCACATGCCTATGTACCAACATATTCCAGGACTCGGGATTTTCATGCACGTGAATACACCATGTGCTAACATATGACCTTGCTCAGGAACTGCCAGTGTGTAACCACACACATACACCACCATGTGGCTATGCTTGGGAACTGCACTTGTATGGACACAATCATATGCACTGGCATGTTACTGTACTCAGGAAGTGTATAGGTGTGAATAGCATGTGTGTGTTAACATGTAATAAGTAACACCTAGGACTGCCTGCATGTGAACACTCACAATATGACCCAACATATTCCCACCATCCAGAACTGCGTATAACACACTGGGCATGGTGACACACACTTTTATTCCCAGCACTCAGGAGGCAGAAGTAGGCAGATGTCTAAGTTCTAGGCCAGCATGGGCTAAAGAGCAAGCTCCAGGACAGCCAGCGCTACATAGAAAAACCCTGTCTCAAACAAACAAACAAACAAAAAACCAAGTGCAGGACAGTCAGCGCTACAGAGAAAAACCCTGTCTCAAACAAACAAACAAACAAAAACAACTGCATACAAGTGAACATGTGTATACAAACTAATATATTTGAGAACTACATGAACATGAACATGTGCATATATACTGACATATGATCACATATGGAACTATACACAGGGAAGCAAACATATCACAAACGTGACTATGCTAGGAAAAGTATATGCATGTGAACATGCATATATATGCTGGCATGATCATGTTCAGCAAATGCACATGTGTACCAATATGTGACCACACTTGTAACTTGCAAGTATGTGAGCATGCACATATGTGCTGATTATGTACCACACTGGGAAATGCACACAGGTGAATGTAAGCACATGCATGTGATTCGTTTCAGAACTTAATGCTTGTAAACACACAAATTTGTAGACATGTGACCACACTCAGAAATGCACATGTGGAAATACGCATATAAGCACCGTGTGATGCCTCTTGGAAGTTACATACCTGTCAACTCATGCATATGTGCCAGCATGTGCTCACTCTCAGAACTTTGTATGCATGTTAAAATGTGCATATGTGCCAACATATTACCATACTTGGAATTTCCATGTGTGTCAACATGCACATATGTGCCAATGTGATCAGGATCAGAACTTCCACAGGTATCAAAATGCTCATACATGATGATGTGTGTCCATGCTTAGAGTGGCATGCATGGTAACACATTTACAAGATATGTGTCTACTCAAACTACACACATGTGAACATATATATGTTCTGATATGTGATGACTCCCTCAGAAGTACATGTCAAAACACATATATGAACCAGCATATGTTTGCTCTTGACACTTGGCATCTGTGTAAAAATGTGCATATAGTGATATGTTACTATACTTGGACGCCTATCAAAATACACACATGAAAAGGCTCTGGATTCAATCCCCAGCACCACACAAGCATGCACATAAGCTATATACAGGCAGACACATGAAAAGTAAAAAGAATTTATGACATGGAACTGAAAAAAACAACACACATGTACTAACGTGAAGAATCTGCCAAGGAAGAAAGTGGAAAAAGAAATACAATGTATTCAAATACGGGTTTTGGTTTTGTTTGTCATGCCAGAGATTGAGCCAAGGGTTTCATGCAAGCTAAGGATGCAATCTAACATTAGCCACAACCCAGAGCCTTCAAATAAATATATTTTATATTGCCAACAGTTCAGGATCCAATGAAAAATGTGTTAAATATAGAAAGAAAGCAGCACAAAATGGAAACAAAATCTTTTGGTCCACGAGCCATGATCAAAAAATAGTCCAAAGGCAACTGATCTATCATGGTTGAGCGGTAACTTCTGTGTGGCACCAAACATGGAACAGCTCTGTAATACTCAACTATCCCCCCACAGAGAAGGTAAGTCTTAGCATAGCTTTCAATCATGGCTAAGAAGACAGCAGTGGGAAGCCAATACCTTTCAGTTAGGAGACAGTCGGGTACTATTGATTAATAATCTCCGGAGTGAGCTGAGGTGTAAATCAAGTAATCTCAGTGAAGAAACTTGTGAACTCTCTACTCTGCAGAGGTGACAAAGAGAAGCCAAACAAAGAAAGCCTAAAATAACAAGAACATAGCTGTAATTGTGACGAAGCTCAAATACACGCAGAGTAGTGGTCCACTAAAACAAAAGTACTTCAACATAAAAGAAAACAAAAGGCTTCTGGGTGGCCGGGAGAATTCTTAGAGCATCAAATTTGTTTCAGCTCATTAATCAGGTAACAATACCAGCACTACTCCTGTCACTTGGCCCTATTAAAAGCATCCAGTATTAATTTAATAAGTACACACCCATTTGTGTGTTTACTGTCTTTCCAGTTGCTATCAAATCTGGAAGGTCAACTAAACAGACAGCACAGGAATACAAAAGGATTAGTTTCCAAATCTTAATGAAATTTGGAAATTCTACATTCATTTTCACATGCTGTAGACATGCCAACCTTCTGGGCTGGCTGACCAGTCAAAAGAGGCTCCTGTTGGTCCCCCCTCACCTTGGTAATTCAGAGTTCCATGAGCCGTGATCTGAGGAACCATGAGAGAGGAAGCCACAGACAGGGAGCCAGTACACCGCAGTATCTTCATCGCCCCAGCAGCTAAGAACATGCGCTATTTCATCCTGCATTTCTCCCAGGCATTCAAGAACTGAAGACCTATACAAACTAGGGGGCAACCAAGACAACCAAGGTCATTGTGACTGTTTTCGGAATGTGTCAGTGTCTGAGTTACTGGTCTATTGCTGTAAAGAAACACCACAACCAAGGCAACCCCTTCAAAAGAAAGCATTTAACTGGGGGCTTGCTTACAGTTTCAGAGGGTTAGTCCATGGTCATCCTGGCAGGAAGCAGACAGACATGGCTCTGGAGCAGTGCTTGAGAGCTTTACATCCTGATCCACAGACAGAGAAGGTGAACAAGACTGGAGCTGGCATAGGCTTTTGAAACTACAAAGCCCACCCCTAGTGAAACACCTCCTCCGACAAAAGTCACACCTTCTAATGTTTCCCAAACAGTCCATTAACTGTGGACCAAGCATTTAACATAGGAGCCTATGGGGCCACTCTCATTCAAACCACCACAGTTAAGAATCTGGTTCCTTCTGTTGATTTCTGAAGCATCACCTCTATATCTTTCTCCTCATTTCTGGGTTGTAGGGCAGAGTCTGCTGACCGCCAACTGGTGTGGCCCTAAAGAGTAAATATTGTCAGGGAAAAGCACACTAGTTGGTTATCCAGTGCCAGTCAGCCCTGAAAACATAATATTAGTAACATTATATGGACTGAAGAGGTTACAGTTAGGAATATACGTCTGTGTGTAAATATGTATGTGTGTGTGTGTGTGTATAAATACATATATATGCATGCAATAACAATTGATGGCAAAAGACGCTAAGGATGTAAAAAAGATCATGGAGGGGTATATGTGAATGTTTGAAGAGAACAAAGGGAAGCAGGAAATGGTGTAATTAAAATAAATCTCAAAAATAAGCAAAAACCAAAATCTCAAAGTGAGGCAAATAAAAGCCAACTCTTAAAAAAAAAAGGAGTAAAAACATTGCCTTTAGCACACATGCTCATGCTCACACACACCCTCCATACACTGCACGTGTGTGCATGCAGACAAACAGATACACACAGAGACACACACAGGAATGAGCCTCTCACGCTACACGTGTACACATAAACCATACAGATACAGCACTGGAGATGCTCGCTTAACCTGTTACTCATATCAGTAAAGAAAGCAGGCCAGCTCTGTTTGAATCTGGATTTTAATTATGTACATAAATAGTGATAGAAGAATGAGGAGTTCTAAGGCTTGTACATTATTTCCATGTGAAGGACTGCTGATTAGTTGGCCTGTAATATGGCATCACCCAAGATAGCAAAGAGGTTTAGTGTTGTTTTTCCTGAAGAAAGTCAGTTTACTATATCCAATACTGACTCTCTGCCATTTGTCTGTAGAAATACTGATTTACCGTCTGGAGTTTCCAATGTTTACCTATAACTAAAAGAAAGAAAAATATAAGTTAACTCTACCCAGGAAAACAAAAATGACTCTAAAATTATGCATTTTGAAGTGTATTTAGGTTTAAATTAATAAACAGTATAATTTTTTACAACACTATTTCATCACCATAAAAAGAATGAGCTAGAAAACACAGTACCTATTCTCATTTTGCAGAAGAGTGAACCAAAGCTCAGATTGTGCTCCACCCATACTACATCCAGACTTTCAACTGGCTGAGTACCCAAGCATACTGAAGTATATGGATGATGCCAAGTACATGCCTAAATGGCACAGCAAATACCATGCACCTCTTGCCCTCTGAGGACCAGGACATACTTCCATGTATCACTGAAGGAGAGCACAATCCCATCATCCTCAGACAGTTGGATGCCTCTCCTCACACCTTCCTTTACCTCACATCCTTCCTTCCAGGGATGAAACACACACAAACGCACACCAAAGCCAAGCTTAATCTTCTCCAGACTGTCTTTTCCATCATATATGATGAGCCTGCACAGCTCTACAAGTTTATAAATCTGTTACGTGCTGGGGATTGAACCTGGGGCCTGACACACGTTAAGCAAGCACTCTAGCACTGAGCATAAAGCCCAACATCTAAGCTGCCAATGACTGACTATTCACTTGAGCTTTTAATGTAAAATCAAAAATTCTTAAACATGCAAACAACTAGCTAATTGGTCTCTCTCAGTTTTAGTGACATCCTAAGAATTTAACAGATTTACCGTTTTGTTAAATTCTGGAAGCAACCTATATTAACAAGGATTAAGTAAGCTCTGGTAAAGTATAGACCAGGAACTATGTAAATAAAGAAGGGGCAAAGTAGGCCTACAAATACTGATGGAGAATATACACAATAAATCCAGCTGAAGAAGCAAATTCCTTATTTAACACACCTACGTATAGTGCTTAGATATGAGCACATAGATAGTCTATGAGATTCAGTAACAAAAAAAATGAAACCTAAATCTGATCATGCTTTCAGATCCAACTGTTGCTACATGGGAAAAGAAGAAAAGAAAGAAATGAAGAGAAAAGAAGAGCTGGCACCAAATGGGTATATTTAGCCACCATTTGAACATGGCAAATTTAAGACCAAAAAAAGCCAAGTTTTTCAATGAATAAATGAGGAACAAGAAACTATTACATTTAAAAGACAAATAAGAGATTTATTCACTAAAACGTGAAGGACAGATAATATTTAAGTCCTGGTTCAAATAAACCAACTATAAAATTATTACTGAAAGGCCAGTATGACTGAACAAGGCTGTACCCCCAGCACTCAGAAGGCTGAGGCAGAAGGATCACAAGTTCTGAACTACGTAATGAGGATGTATCTCAAAATAACAACACTAAAATTATTACTGACACAAACAGGAAAATCTATACACTAACTAGATATTAGAGGGTATTAAGGAATTACTGTGAGTTTCTTTTGGTATGATGATAAAATTATACATACCTTTTTGGAGTTTTTTGTGTAATTGCAGTCAAAAAAAACAAAAGTATACAAATGTGTACTGTCTATTTAAATCCATGCATACTTCAATGCCTATAGCGTACCAAATTATGAGCAGAAACTATCTCTGGGAAAGAAATAATGACCAGGAAGCTGTTAAAATTTTTATCTGGGGCTGGGGTATACTCAGAGATAGAGTGCTTGTCTACCATGTATAACCTCCCAGGTTCCATCCCTAGCTTCCAAAACAATAGCTACAGCCAAAATATACTGCAATTTTATTTTATGTGTGCATAGTGTGTGTGAGTGTGTGGATATTTATGCATGTGCATGCAGGTGCACATGTACCTGGTGGCCAGAGGTTTACACTGGGTATCTTTCTCAACACTGTATACCGTATTTTTCAGACAGGCTCTCTCAGTGCACCTGGAGCTCACTGAATTGGCTAGATTCCAGCCATCGTGCTCCAGGAATCCCTGGCTCCACCGCTCCAGTGCTGGGACCACAGGAACACGCCCCCATACCTAGCTGTTTATGTGGGTGCTGGGAATCCAATCTTAGGTCGCCATGTTTACATGACAATCACCTTGCTGACTAAACCATCTACCTAGTCCCCTACTGCTCTTATAATTAAAAACTAAACCATCAATAAAGTTCTAAAAATTCAGGACTAAAAAATTCAAAGTTGTATATAGGGTAAGTTGAACCCTGGTCTAGAACCTTCTGAACACTGATATGGCTTATTACCTACGTCTTTTTGTTGGATCTCATCCCTATAGAGAAATACAAAGACATTCTATATAAAGTATCTAAGGACTTGTATGGCCCTCTGGAAGCTCACTCTCTAGTCTCTCTTCTGCTACGATAGTCACAGAAATGCTGATTCTGGGGCGGAGCCTGGGCCTCTGCCCTTTAACAAGAGCTCGAGGCAGTTATTAAATTACCTGTCTAACAGCAGAGAACTCCTGACTCTGCATTAGTAGAAATGGCAAAGGGGAGCTAGATTTGCTCTCTGTGACACCTCAATCAGGATTAGGACTGTTATGTAGGAGTCAAAAGAAAATATCTTTCACTTACTATAAGCAGCAGCTTCCTAAACTATCAGGAGTGTCCAAAGACAACTGCCCTGTGAGGTGTTTCCTACCAAAGGCAGCGTAACGGGGGTGATGAGCAGAGCAACAGAGGATTCTGCTTGAGGCTGGGGGTTGCACTGCATGACTCTCAAATTCCAAGTGATATGACTCTCTGGCTCTCGAAGAACAAGGAGATAGTTGAGAAAGGAAAGCCTCAAACACAGACTTTGGGGCATTTTAAATAGTAACTGTGATATACAGCAATATAACACAACTTTTTAAGATAGGCTGACTGACTTTTAACTCACTGGTAGAATGCTTGCCTGGCAGGTGTGAAGCCTTGGGTTCAATCCCCAGTGCCACACACACACAACTAATCATAAAAGAAAACTCATATTCATGGCAGGAAATGTGAAATAAAAATAAAGTTCAAATAAAAGTGCACATTTAAATTTTCTATATACCTCCTGACCTAACAAAATATACCACCTTTCTTCTCTAATTAATAATTGTGGTTCTGGGTTTGTCATCCTAGCTACACAGGAAGCTGAGATCGTAAATTCAAGCCTAGTCCAGGCAACTTTATGGAAGAAGTGTCTAGAAAACAAAAAGGAAAGCAAATGCTATGGGTATAGCTCAGGGGTAGAGAGAGTGCTTGCCAAGCATGTGTGATGCCTTGGGTTCAAACCCAGTACCACAAAAAAATTTGTACATGCTCCCATGAAATTAAGTATAATTGAAACTATAATAATCCTCTTTATAGATCTATCATAACTAAGCTAGTTTCATGCAGCTGAATACCTAGGTTAATTTTTAATTCCTTATAATTTGCTAATTATCAAGACATGACACGATCTATTATATAATTTTAACATATACACAAAATACTAATACAATTAATGCTTTTATACTTAGCAGGTGCTTGGTAAGTAAATATTAAACAAACATGAATAATAGTGAGTTGAATATAAGACCAAAAGAAATTGCACCGAGTTTCTAACCTCTGTCTGGTTCTAGTTTATCTAAAAAAATCCTGGCACTTCTCAAAAAGAAACACAAACATAATTAAATAAGCCATGGCACTTAAAGACAGAAATTAAAGACAGAATAAAATATGACCCTTATGTTTCAACATTAAGGTGAAAGGGCTATAATTAATTAATTAACTAACAAGAAATCATTTTAGCTAGCACTAACAACACTGACAATAACCAGAAGGTCTTTGTTTCTTTGTTTTATTCTTTACCTGATTAAAATGGGCAGAACATGGAGTTTTCTATTTATTTCCAGGTGAATTCTTCACATTTCCTGGCTTGTAAAAGAAAATGGAAAGCTTTAATGCAACTTGAAAAGAGATAGTGAAATATGTCAAGGTGTCTTCAGTATTTGGCTGAACATAAACATGAAATATTATTATTTCCTTGTAAGGTGGTCAAGCCATTTTGTTGAAGGTCTGAGGTGGGGTGTCAAAGAAGGGATTGAGACCCTGAAATATCAACTGGGGCTGCAGTGAGACATGTTAAAGGAGGTTATAATACAGAATGACCCATTTCTCAGGAGACTGAAGAGATTAGTCCGTTTCCTTCAGTGTCCTGTTGGGAAAAGTAGCTTAGGCACAGAGAATATTTAAAAAGGCTATAGGAATTCTTATGATCCAGCCGAATGGTTGATTCCATAAAAAGCAAAATCAAATCAATATTCAAAGATTTATTTCTTAAAAGTTGGATTTATTACTACATGCCACTATCACTGACGTAGAGGGCTTGACAGATGTTAAGAAAGCTTCTTGCATTATCCACAAGGGCCAGTTCATTAAATGCACACTCTCAAAGAGCTTTAAGTTGAGCCACATCCATTCTGCCTGACTATCCTTGGGGAACATATAATTAATTAGGTCATATCCATGGGAAGACATGTAGAAAAGTTTCTAGTGGGGAAAATTCATGTGCTTAAGTTCAGGCTTTCCTTTTCTGTATTTTTTAAGACTTACATTCTGAAATCCTATTAATAAGACCTGCCTGGATATCAATGATCAAAACTCAGGAACTGGCAGTCTGAACAACTCTGGGTTGCAGCTGGACAGGCCGTGAGGCTGTGCTTCAGGAGACTAGACTTGGTGCAGGTGGCCCTGGTGGTCCTCTCTCTCATCAGCACTAATGGGTGAAGGGAGGAGTGTGAAAACAAGAACATGTGACTGACTGTCAGTGCACAGCATAGTTTCTGGGCAATTCTAAACTCTGCTCCAGGGGGTTAGAACAGTTCTCTATGTACTGCTCTATGCCCATCATACCAGCATAATGAACACTGTCCTCTCTCACTCACAGAAGCATCCTAGTTTTGATGATAACATGGGCACCCATCTACACACCATAGTACTTTATAGAGGAGTTCTGGGGAACAAGACCATATGCACTGCCTGGTGATTCAACACAAAATACAGAAGCTGGCCAATGGAACTCTAAAAGACCTATTATTAGTGCTAAGTGCTAAGCCCTCCCTGCACAGTCACTCCCCACCCCATCCCACATGTGTGTGCACATGTGTGCACATCGCATTCAAATATTTTGTTGCATGAACAAATGGAATAGGAGAGAGACTAGGGGTCTAGCGAGGACTTTTAGGTAAAGCCTAAGACCAAGGATGGCGCTGCAGACCTATCATCTAAGCACTCGGAAGGCAGAGAAAGGAAGACTGGGAGCTGATGACCAGTCTGGTCTACACACAGAGTCTCAAAGAGGGAAGTGATTCATTAAAAAATAAGAGATAAGTCAGGTGTGATGGCGCACACCTTTAATCCCAGCACTTGGGAGGCAGAAGCAGACAGATCTCTGTGAGTTCGAGGCCACCTTGGTCTACAGAGAGACTTCCAGGACAGTCAGGACTACACAGAGAAACCCTGTCTCAAAAATCCAAAAACAAAGATATAAAAAGAAAGTTATGAAAGTAACACAATCAGGGCTAACTACTGGGTCTGCCATAAAGTAATGTGGCTTCCCACCTAATTAAATTGATTTACTACTTGCCAAGTATATCTAATGATATTCTTTAGACACATTCTATTCATACCTGCCAATCTCTCAACCTCAAAAAATAAGGTGCCAAATTTTCAAGCTTTTCAAAAATAATTCAGATGAAGAAAATAAGCAGGCAGAGTCTTCCATTCTACTGATTGAGAAAAGCAATCTGTTGCTAAGAACACGGCCTTGTTCAGACACATATCACTTATAATAATACAAATCAGAACCAATATCTCATTTAAAAAAATACTGGACCTACTCACCCTTGACCACGTTACAAATTAAGAGCTCTCTCGAGACAGCACCATGATCTCAAAGGAAACAGCATTCTCACTTCAAAAAGCAGTTTGTGATTTAAGAATAAGCAAAAAAAAAAAAAAAACAAAAAACTACTGCATTTTCAGAACAAGTTTTCTTTAAAAAATATTTTCCTTATGTGATTTTAATGCATATTTGTTTTTCAATGTATTATTACCATGTCCATGAACACAAATAACAATTTATGTTAGCAAAACTGAAATGGTTTCTGAAAAACTCGAAACATCGACACATCGATTTCTAATTATGATGCACTGCTATGTCAAGGTGGATTTTCCATGTGGTGGTTAATCTTCATTGTCATTTTAACTGGATTTGGAATCGGACACAGAGTTGTGTCTATAAAAGTGTTACCAGAGAGGTTAAACTGAGGCAGGAAGCCCTCCCCGAGTGTGGGGGCACCATCCCATGGTCATGGTCTCTGGTAGCAGACTAAACATACAGGAAAGCGAGTGGAGTGCCAACATTCCTTGCACTCTTCTGGTAAGATGTGAGGAAGTAAGTAAGAGTCACAGCAAGAGCCATGCCATCACCATGCCTTTCCAGCCATGAGGACTGTGCCTTCATATCAAGACCCCAAATAAGCTCTCCCTCTCTTACAGTGTCCCTTATCAGGTACTCAATCTCAGTAACAAGTAACTAATATGGCCAGTCAAATATTAGGAGCTTTGCATCCTCCTAAAATCTGTGAGTCCTAGTATGAGACAGGAATTTGTGACTCTGATTCCCAAAATCCACGACTGAAAAAAAAATGCAGGTATGGTGGCACATTCTTGTAATCTCAGAAGTGGGAAGGTAACAACAGGAGGATCCCTTGGGCTCAGAAGTCAGCCAGCCTAGACTAGGGAAATCCCAGGTCAGTAAAAAAACAACTCTCAAAACAAAAGAACCCAGGTGAACAGCACTTGAGGATGACATTGTCCTCCGGACTCCACTCCCACATGTGAGTGCACAGCAAACACGCACATGCCTGCTAGTGTGCACACACGTGCGCGCGCGCGCGCACACACACACACACACACACACACACACACACACACACACTAGGGTCCTGAAGTATTTTCAGCAATTGTTTAACTCCTCCAAAATGCAATTTCCTTACTTGTAAAATGAAGGTAATAAAAACGTGCCTGTCAGGCTCCTGAGAAAAGAGCACTCTGAGCTAGGCTCAATGGATGTACCCTACTGTATGATAGGGCACTTCTTTTTAATAAAAAAGTAGTTAATAAATGAAACCATCCTAAATGTCTATCGGTAGATGAATGGACAAAGAAAATGTGGTATGTATTCCTTAATAGATGGGTTATAAATAACAAAATTTTTGTCATATTTGCAAAAAAAATGTATTTGCAGAAAAATGAAATGGATACAACTGAAGATTATTATGTTAAGCAAGGTAAGCCAGATTTGGAAAGACAAACACTGTATGTTTTCCTTCCTATGTGGCTCCTAGATTTTAATTTGTATATGTATACACACACACACACACACACAGATACCTGTCAGTATGGGTGTGAGTGTAGGTGTGAAACTAGAAAGTAAGCCATGAGAGGTGAAGAAGGGGACTTAGAGCAGGGGGTACTAAACATATCTGATATTAAATACAGGGGTTACTGTATAGAGAAAGACTAAACATATCTGATATTAAATACAAGGGTTACTGTATAAAGAAAGACTAAATATATCTGATATTAAATACAGGAGTTACTGTACAGAGAAAGACTAAAAGGGGATGGGGGATAAGAAGCATGCGGAAGCAGGATCAACAAGAACAAAGTATGTATGGAAATGCCAGAAAGAATCCATTATTTTGTACGCAAATGTAAGAAAACAATGCAAAGTGTAAAATAAATAGGTGAGGACAGATGACCTGTTAAAGATCCCAGCAAAATTCCAGTTCACTGGAACATGGTAGGCAGGATAGTGGTGCCACAGATGTCTGTATCTGAGACCTGTTACTTTCTGTGAAACCTTCAGATGGCACACTCATCATACCTTGGCTTATACGAATGGGCCCAGTTGACTTTGAAGAGTTAATAGAGGCTAAGACGGAAGCAAAACCAGGGGGTCAGAGAGAGGACCCTGAAAAAGAAGACCTATGCTGCTGGTTTTGAAGACAAAGGAAGGGGACTGCCAAGGAAAGTCTCCAGAAACTGGGTCAGCCTCACTCGCCAGGCAGCAAAACAGACCTAGGTTTACAACAGAAAGGAACGAAATTCTGTCAACAACCTAAGTCCACAGGAATTCTGTTCTAGGACCTCTGGAGAGGAATGCAGCGCTCCTAACACCTGGAGTTAGCACTGGACTTCTGACCTACTGGGCAAAGACAGTAAGTCTGCATTGTGTTCAGCCTGAGTCATTCACTGTTTCAGGGACAACAGGAGACAAGGTTGTGCTGGAAACTTCCAAAGCTGTTAAGAGCAGACAGCGTTACTCTTCCTACCTTATAAAATTAAAAAGAAGGTAATGACAGCAAGGTAGATTTTCCAGAAAGCTAAAGTTGTTCTGGATGTATGTCATTTCTTTTATATAAGACTATTATAAATAAAGAAACTAAGTAATAACTTTTCTTTTTTTAAAATAAGGTTGAAGAGCAGACCTTCAGAACTTATTCATCAATTAGCAACTTTCCATTCCTCCCTCCTCCAGCTCCTAGCAACTACCGCCAGTCAATCTTTCCTTCTGTGCGCTTAGTAACTCCATATACCTCACATAAGTGGAATCACATGGTATATGACTGCCTTATTTCAAAGGCAAATTTTTTATATATAACTCTTTATTGACTCTCTGGGAATTTCACACCAAGCACCCAAATCCTGTTCACCTCACTCCTTATCATCCCTGCATCATCCTCCCCAAAAGAAACCACCCCCCAAAAAAAATTAATTAGAAACAAAACAAAGAACCACCTTGCTCCTCTTCCATTTTCCTGCCTCTCCAACACCTCTTCATTCATCCCGCTGTCACTGGAGTGTCA